CATGCATGCATGCATGCATAAATAAATACATACGTACGTACGTACACGCATGGTCACATGCATACATAAATAAATAAATACATACATACATACATACATGCATGCATGCATACATACATACACATGCATTCACACACATAAATATCTAGACATTGTGCACATTGTGCACATGTGTATATATATATACATATACATTGTGCACATATGTATATATATATATATAATTATATATATATATATATATGTATGCTTCTTGGTATGGCTTCTTCGCGGTTTTTGCATTGCTTTGCTTTCGCGGGACTTTCGCCCTCACTACACGGTCCTAGTCCTAGCTTTTGAGTTTCCTTTGGCAACGCCAAACCTGAAAGCCGAGCTCAGGAGTTAGGAATCTCAATTCTCGCGCGTTCACATTCAGTAATGTGGCGGCCTCTCTAAGTGAGCGGGCTTCTATAATGCGTGTTTTGCTGCAAGCCGTTATCAACAAATATTGGGGGTATTCTGTTGATTCTTTCGGGTCGGCTGATTTTTGCTTCGTTTGCTTCTGTTCTGCTAATGGTCAATCTTAAGGCTCCCACAAGCTTGTTCTTTGGAGCCCCTAAACCCCCCCTCCAAACCCTCAAAACCTGGCACTGAAGCCCAAGCTCTCCCTAAACCACCAATGAAGTTTTTTTGAGCAGGGACTGCAATGCGCTAAGCCTTGAATCCCTTCAGCCAAGCTCCTGACTCCAGCGCTTATGGCAGAGCACCAATGAAGCCTAAACCCTAAATCCCACGTAACCCTCATCTCAACCCTAAACCCGGCCTATATATACCCCCCTGAACCCTAAAGCCTAAAGCCCCACCCAACCCTTCAAAACCTGGCCCCTGAAGCCTGAAGCTCCCCCTCAGCCTAAATCCTAACCCCACAAACCCTAAACCCCCCGGTCTACGCGGCTGTACCGGTAAACTCATCATGTCTTGAGGGGTTTGGGAGGCCTTAGGCTCGGGTTCTAGCTGGATTTACCTTAAGGTCTGGGTCTTGGGGCTGAGAACAGCAACCTTAAGCATTCCGAGGCTGTCTAAGGGATTAGGGGAGGCGCCAGCCCCCAAGCCAACCCAAGCCCCCAATCCACCAAACCAAGGTCAAGGGGGTCACGGGTAACATATTCATCAAGTCTTCCGGAAAAATGGTGAGGGGGGGCGGGCTATCACAGAGGACGCCACATTAAACCTCATTCAAGCTATGAAAAATGTTACGGCAAGGGTTGCCATGCGGGGGCATATAGGGTTGCTAGACTGCTTTGGATTTATTGGGGCGGCGCCAAATTTCAGGGAACGTCGGTCGACTTCGCCAGCATTTCTACCTGCCTTCGACATGGTTTCTGGCTAGAGTCTACAGTCGTGGTTGGTTAAGTTGAAACGATCCTCATAAATCCAGGACCTGCTGCTACTACTGCTGCTGCTACGATTTCTCAAATGTTTCTCAAAAACTGCCATTACGTGGCTTATGTCCGGTATCCTGGTCTGCAGCGACACGGCGGGATCGCTGAGCCGAAGAACACCCAAAGCTGCGATGGCCCGCGCGTCTTTGGCCTGAACGGATGGATTCGCTTGTTGAGTGACGTCGGACCGATCGAGGAACTTCCCTGAAGCTATCAATGTTGATGCCTATTCCACAAACTCATGACTGCTTTTACTAATTTGTAGCGATGCCTTTTCGACTGCCGCACAGCTAGATCGAAATCCTCAGTTCAAGGTTTAAGAGGCGCTTGATGCTGCAGTCGAGGATGGTTGATGCCTGGTTTGCAGCAGGTTGGACCCATTGTGAAAGGCGATGAAAGCATGTCTGGAAGAAACAGCAAACTTCGAGCTTGAGCTTGCGTGTTCTGGCATTTGAGGCCCAGGTGCAGGAAATGGCCTGGAGCCCGCAGTGCTGAATCCACCCCACCCTAGATTGTAAACCTCACGGCATCCGTCTGGTCGTGTTGCATGCCTCAAGGGTTGATATCTGAAACTGTTGCGGCCTCACAGCATATACGAGTAGTAGTATTACTAGTCCCGATACCATGTTACTAGCAGCAACTGCGGTGGCGATAGCACACTTTGACCGGGCCCGGCGAGCGTCTGCTATAGAAGTGTTACCTAGATTCTTCCACTGGCTTCAGACAGGTGATGACGAGAGCGAGCGACTCATCGCATCCCCCAGCCGTGCATTGAATCTCTTCTTGCGGCCGCTGTCTGCTGCTGACCTTTGGATTCCAGCCCGAGAGGCGCAGTGGATAGCCGCCGCTTCTGCAGAATTTTCTGGAGGCTTACTCTCGACTTGAAGCTGTGTCGATTGCTGTCGACGACATGCTGTTCGCAATGATCCCTAAGACCCACATGAAGTTGAGGCATGTGGTGGAGACCTTATACGAGCAGGCCACCAAGTCTCCCTGTGCAGAAGATGCAATGGCGGAAGCAGTGGTGGTGGACGAGGATTGTATGGGATTTTATCGGTCGATACTGTGCTCTCACGAGATCGATCTGTCTCGCCTCGCAGCAGGATTCTTCGTTCTTTGAAACGGTACTTGACACCGGCTGCACTCCTTTGAAAGCGAGGATGAAAAAGGTGAACGAGCTTTGGAGAGTCTATCCCGAGGCCCAAAGCATTCCAGACCAATACACCAGGAAAGCACAACCAACACTTCGAGCCCAAGGCCAAAACATCACAACACCTCAAGACCCGGCCTGAACACAATCTTCCAATTCCGACATGTCATGGTTATGCTGACTTTGTCCTGATCTTCAATAGGCAAACAGGCGATCGAATGCGTTTCAAGCTTTCAGGGGCGTACAAAAAGCTTTCGGTCTTCAGCTTCCGTACACAATTCACGAGCGAGCCGACAAAGCAGGTAGGGTCCCTGAAGATGATCAAACACAGTTTTATAAACCTTAAAACCGTACTCGAACAATGAAAGGTCACCTCTGAAAAGTATAAAGGACCTTAAAACCATGCTCTAATTATTAAGGTCACCTCTTGTAAATTGTTAGTGTACCTTTCATCTGGACCTGGCCTGCAGGCGTGCTGCTGATGGGAAGTGGCTCCGCGGATGGTCCAGGACCTCGGCTGCCAGTTCAAGCTCTGTAGGTCTAGGCTTTGGACATGGGTTTAGGGTTTAGGTTTAGGGCTTAGGGTTATGAGACAGCATGCTAACGTTACACCTGGGAACGTCGGAATATTGCGACCAGCGCAATTAGTGACTGTGGTCATGTCCGGGCGGATTGCCCCCGAGCATTCACGACACTGGATGCGACCACTACTACTACGGTACTACTGCTGGTGCTGCTGCTGCTGCTGCTGCTGCTACTACTACTACTACTACTACTACATGTACATGTCATGCCATTTCAGGGCTCACGTCTCCTTTAATAACTTAACTTCAAACCGTCGAAGTTACAAGTATAGCAACACATTGTGACAACACTCCAAGCCTCATGGCTGCCGACGTGTGACATGCGCTCGCTGAGCTCAGCGAGGGTGCTGGATTTATCTTCCGATGTCGAATCCGGTAGCACCCTCTATAGTGTTCATCGTCGAGGCAAGGCATCCGCACAACGACGATGGTGATAACGACAAGAACGATTCATCTCTGCAACTATCAAAGCAAGAAAGAGTGCCCGTCTAGATGCAGATCTCGTTCATCCACCACTACCACCACCGACACCACGACTACGACCACGACTGCGACGACGACTACGACGACGACTACGACTACGACTACCTCGACGACTACTACTACAACTACCTCGACGATTACTACTACGACTGCTACTAGTACTCCTCTTGCTCATACTCCTACAGCTACTCCTATTCCTACAACTACAGGTACAACTACAAATGCGACGACGACTTCTACTGCTGCAGCAGAAGTACTCCTTACCAAGGCTAAAAGTGGGCAAGTTCTGAGAGCCCGACACCCAGAAGCTGCAAGGACTGCGCAGGCGTCAGCATCGCCGCTTTCGCGGAGTCGTCATTGAGGACTGGCACGACCTCGCCAACTGGGGTCTAGGGTTTAGGGTTTAGGTTTTCTGAATTTCTGGTCCAGAGGTTGTGATGAAGGCTTCTGCAAGCTGCATACAGTGCCAACAGACTGCTTGTAAGCTCCTGCACATTAATCTTCCCTGTAAGCTTTCTTGCTCTGAGTCAGCTTGCAGTTGAGAAGTGCTTCAGGGTTTTAAAGCTTTTAGAGCCTAGGGCCTAGTGTCTTTTTGGGTCTCAGAGAGGATTTTAGGCTTGGATACGGGTCGAGGCTACAGTGTCAGAGATGTTTTGTGCCTTGCTATTACTACCATTCCTGGGTTGCAGGCTGCGGCCACCAAATAAGAGTTGGAGCCTTTGGAAGCTGGCAGTTGCTGCCCGGCTTCACTTCGAAGGTAGATGCTCTTGGCGGAAGGAGTTGAGAGATGTTGAGAGCATGAACTCTTGGGATGGTGGTATGACGCTTTAAAGTAGGGTCAGCACCTCGAGCCAGAACGCCCGAGGCCCCACCGTCCCAAACCCCTGAGCAACAGGAGTGCTGCAGGGCTACCCTGAACACTCAGCCCGGACTCGGCACCCAATATTGCAAGCGCAACTCCAACACCCTCTGTACAATCCTGACATGAAGTCTTTTCATGCCCAATATTCTAGACTCTAAGCCTCCAGTTACGGCCTGAACCCGCAAACCTGAAAGGCCCTGAAGCCTGAATGCCTATCTTGCGAATTAGGGCCTGAACCCGAAAACCTCAAAGGCCCTAAAACCCCAAACACCACAACCCGAAACTGTAGACCTCTATAATGAAGGCCTGAACCCGGAACCCTCGGAGCCCTCAAAACCCTAACCCAAAAAAGAAACTACAATGGAGACTAAAGGCAGGTCCTAAACCCGAAGCACGGCGAATGACCACAGGCATCCGGAAGCCAAGCACTCGAAAATACCAAAGATGGGGGCTGAACAAAAACCCAAACCCGAAACCCCAAGACGCTAGGCCCTAAACCCTGAACCCTAAACCCCCACGACCCTCCGTAACCCCCAAAACCCAAACCCTGAAACTACACTCAAGGGCCCCGAAAGCGCAGGGCCAAGCCGGGGCTCCCAGCACCCCCTGGTCCAGCAGCGAAGGCCGGCCTGGCGCGACGGATTTCACATGAACATATTGAGGATTCATTTAGGGTTTAGGGACAAATAGGCAGATTAGATAGATAGATGGATAGATGGATAGATAGATAGATCGATAAATAGAAGGCTGAGGGCGCAGGGTGAAGGGTCCGGTTTGAGAGAGAGGGAATAGCTTCAGGGCTCGCCGCCGTCGCGAGCCCTGAAGTTTGTGTAGGTCGCTGCTTTACGACTCATCCGGCTCAAGAGGTACCAGCGTTGAGACCGAAATTCGCAGCTCGGGGTCCAATGCGTGTTGGAGCTACACTTCCAATGGAGGCAGGCTTCAGCACTCTCTGCTTTGTCGCCCAGGCGGAGGCGGGGACAGGCCAGGATAGTTTCTGTGATCATTTCAGGTCTGAAGTACCTAGAAGTGATACTGTAGCTACTTGCTGTTGCTCATTGCAGGGTCCAAACATGCTCTAACCATGCAAACGGCTAACCCGACCAGGAACTCCAACAATTGAAACTATAGATGACAACCGAAACTGTTCAGAAATGCCGGCTGCAGCAATTTATTTTGTATAGTAATTTTGTATAGGGGTATACGGTTCCGGGGGTAGCATAGCATGTCTTCAAGGCTGGAGGCTGGAAGGCCTTTGCACCAGAGCTCTTAGATAAAACACTTTCCAACATTAACGAAAGTTTCCGGGACAGTCGTAAGCTGTGAACCTTATACCTTGTGGGGCTTAGGGTTTCAGCATAGGATTTAGGCGTATAGGCTCTTCCTAGAACCCCCCAACTCCCAGCCGTTTTATGCCAGAGCTCTCAACCCCGTCTAGGGCCGGGACAGCCAGCGCGCAGGGAAACGCCCTCGTCCGAGGCCTCGGCGGAACCGATACATATTCAGTTGGCAGGAACCCATAGTAGTGAAAAATTGTGAAGCCTTATGTACAACACTAAACACGAGGATCCATACAATAAAAATCGCGAAGTGAAGGGACCCATAGCTTGAAGAGACATCCCTCGATCTCTCTGTCAGGGTGTCGGCTTTTCGGTGAAACCTCATGCGCTCTATACCTCTGACCCTGGCAATCTCATGCCTTGGTTAAATTAGCTTCGGTCGAACACCACTCTGACTCCTGTGTCCCTGAGCAGCTTACAGCAACGCTGAACGCTAGTGCATTTCGTCGCCGTTTTCTATTCTTTAAGGCCTGGGACAAGGCTTTCCCTGCCAGCCGTGCCAAAGCTACGACAAGCTAAATCCTAAACCCTGCCTTATGGTAACCTAACTCTCCTAAACCAAAACCCTACCTTGTGGTAACCCAAAACCCGATACCCTAAACCCTAAACCCTAAACCCGATACCCTACCATGTATCGACCCTGCTTCAAGTCACCCAAAAGAGCGAGGCACCGAAGCCAAGGGCAGAAAGCGATTCTGGGGAACTGGCCAGGCCCTTCCTGACAAAAACTGGGGAACCCTAAACCCCAAACCCCAAACCCCAAACCCTAAACCCTAAACCCTAAACCCTAAACCCTAAACCCTAAACCCTAAACCCTAAACCCTAAACCCTAAAGCCCAAACCCTCGCGCACTTATGGTGTGAGGTCCAGGGATCTCCAGGGCTCTTAGGGTTTTGGGTTAGTGGAGACCTTTGGGGCTCTTGGGGGGTTGGGGTTGAGAGATCTCTCTAGGAGTCCTAGGGTTTTGGGTTAGGTGGAGATCTTAGGGCTCTCAGGGTTTAGGGTTGAGGGTTTAGGGTTTAGGGATGTTTAGGGTTTAGGGCTTTTTTCTTCGGTTTGAGTGTCCTTTCTCTGTCTCGGAGTGAGCCGGGTTTAGGGTTGAGGAAGTAGGGTTTGAGGTTTCTGGTTCCCCAAAGCTCCAATTGCTTCAATTGTAGGTTACCAACTATGGATAACATATGTACTTCAGTAACAGATTATCTAAGTCATTGGTGCCCTTGGGGATGTTGTCCGCATTTTAACTTGGCGCCTTTTTGACGTCTTCTTCGAGTTGAGACAGGGCTTGGGGAAGCTTATGGGCTTTGGTGTTTTGAGGTTGGGGCTTCTTAGAATCGGGGTTTAGGGTTTGGGGCTTGAGCTTCATAGGACTAGTCGGGTTTAGGCTTTCGTACAAGTGTGCCGTCCAGCATGCATGCTCCTACTGAAAGTTTAGGCTTGGGGGCGCTCATTCCTAATGGGGGGAAAGAGCCTGGGACCTCTTGTACAAGACTTAATACTGAAACGCCTGAAGCTCCAGAACCTAAAACCGCAAGAGCACGCCTTCCGGCGGTTGGGATTAATTTGGCTAAGTGGCAACCCGTGGATTGTGGTAGCTTTGCAATGCAAACCGATAAAATTAATTTAAGGCCCCATCTTAGTAGAATCGCGTTAAACGGCTCCCACACGCCCCGATTTTGTTGCATGCGGTCCACGGAAACAGAGACGCACCAGCTAAGCTATCCCAGCTCCGGCATCTTTCAGCGTTGGCCCCCCATAACTTTGCAAGCCCAATGCCAACCTTGAGCCCTAACCACTTGGATGTCTAGACCCTACACCCTAGTCCCTACACACTAAACCCTAATCTAGACCCTACAAGACCCTAAAGGACATCAAGCAGAGCAAGCGTGCGAGCTGCCTTGCAGAAAAGCTTCAAGTCGGGAAGCAACTTCTTCAAGGCCTTCAGGGTTTAGGGTTGAGGGGTTTAGGGTTCAGGGGTTTAGGGTTAGCGGGTTTTTGGAGCGGTTTAGAGGTTTTTGGAGGGGTTTAGAGTTTAGGGTTCTTCATGCCAACAAATTCAACTCTTAGTGGTCAAGGATCTAAGCTCAGTGTCCCGGGCTTAAGGTGTGAGGTTTCAGGGCTGAAGATTCTGCTATCAGTAATAATTAGTCGTCGTCGTAAGGAGAAGTTCGTAGTTAGCCGGAAAGCCTTGTAGAATCCATCTAAAAAATGTTGGAACCCTTACAGGACCCATGTGGAAGCCCTAAAACCCTTCTCCAACAATCAATGGCCATCCGTCTTAATGTAGGGGCCTTGATAATTAGAATAGGGATCGGGGGTATACTATACCATACAAGGAGCCCCCCAAAATAATATAGGTAATTATGAAGGCCCCTACATTACGACCTGCACCCCTGAGCACGTCTCATGGCGGCCTCAGGCGGCGGAAGCGGAGACTTGCTGGCCTCCGCGGAGAAGGGGCTTCTTTGCTCAGGGTTTAGGGCTTAGTTTCGGGTTTAGGGTTTAGGGTTTAGTTTCGGGTTTAGGGCCAAAAACCTGACGACAAAGGAAAAGGGGCCAAACGCGCCAACACCTCTACAAGATATAGTCTTCGGGACCCCAAACCTCCAAAAACACCTGACCCTGAGACATCAACACGCCTGATCCAGAGTCCTCAACAACTTTCAACTTTGGGCACCGTTTAAGTGTGGCAAAGTTCTGCTTTCAGGTTTCTGACTGGTGATGTTGAGTTCACCTTCATAAACCCCCGCTCAATTGAAACCCCAGTCCCAAAACTCACGTATCAACCCCCCTCACTTAAAACACCCGATCCCGAAACGTCAATAATACTCCCGTCCCTGGTTCCTAAAAGACCACTCGAGGCCCTCCTGATAACAACACTATCACTAGTAACAATACATGCTCTGGGGGCTGCAGGTAAAGACTGTCTTAGGGTTTAGAAAGAATCTTGAGAAGTTTAGTAAGTTTAGGCTCTCACAACTCGGGTAGGGATTCTGTTTTAGGAACTCCCTCTGCAGTTGGTGTGTGCGCTTAAAACGGTTGCAATCACAACCGAAAGCAACACGATTCCACAGGCAACGGATTTCCTCATCCACCAACGCCGCCATCCTTGGATGCACATCCGTTTTGTAAGTTTGAGACAAACTAACATGAAATCCCAAACCTTCACTGCAAACTGAACCTTGAGGAGGTGCTCTTCACGCTTTACTGGGACGATGAGTCAACGAGTCATTGAAGTCCAGGCTGATTGACTTCCATTGACTCGAAAAGCCGATTGTTCCCAAGGCACCTCAATACACTTCATGTATGGTCGGCATCATGTGTTACTGTTACAATGATACGGTAGGGGTCGTTCTCGACGCTTCTGCTGCTGCTGAGCTATTCTGTTGCGACGACTCCTGCTGCATAAACCGTAGGCGAAAGTGGCGTCCAACTTTTTTGGAGTGATGTTGTTGTGTGTTCTGAACTACACGAAATCCCAAAACGCACATCCAAAGCCGAAGCCGCTTCTCCTTGCATCACACAGTTGACTGTAGGCCTTAAACCCTGAGCACAAGTTGCAGGAAGAGTCTTTTCCTCCCGCCACGGAGTCTTTTGGACGCTTGTCGCCCCAACTCTCCCATGCATTTGTCTGCCAGATGGGGGCTGTGCAAGACGACGAAACCAATCGAACAGAAACATGAAAAAGTTATGTTTCCATATACCCACCAAATTCCAGCCCTGATACTACACCCAGTAAAGCCTGCAAGAAGCGGGTTGATAGTACTAAGGCACATGTCGCTAGCTTTGAACAACCCCCTGCTGCAGGTAGAAGGCTGCGCTGGGCACTCCTTTTGCCCTGGCCTCATCAACCAAACCTCAGTACTTTCGTTATGTTTTGATGGGGTCTGCAAACGTTCAGGTTTATTGGAGGCACTAAGCAAAGTTTGTCCAACCCACAGAGAAGACAGACAGTGCACCAGGAGTCTCATATCGATAGGTAGAGATAGATAGATCGATACAATACATACATATGATACATCTGCATGTGTGCAATGCATGCACATAGCAAGCAGCATGAACCTCGGCGGCAAAGCGGGCCCCCGGTGCATGCAGGACAAAATTGCTGGACAGGACGTAACACAAGAGCCTTGGTTCGGGGTCTGTACACTGTATGACGGAATCAATAAATATTGAGATTAAGGAACCGGAAGCACGAGCACTACAAATTACGCAGGCCTCCAGATTTACCCCTGATTGTGGACAGGTTTGAAGCAGGGAAAGTTGGAACATGAGATAAGGACGATTAGTGCAGAGATTCAAAAGTTGCCGTAAGGGCGGGAGGATACTCATGTTCCGACTTCCTGTCTGCAGCGGGCTTGTGCTGTAAGGCTTTAGGGCCACTGCTTTACGCGCTTGGGATTTGGAGCGTGGGGGCTTTGGACTGAGGGCCGTCAGGGTTTGAGGAGTTCAGAGAAGGACATGGACTCTTCGCTGTCAATGTTACTTATTGGATTGAGAAGTTTCAGTTTTGAAGTTTAGGGTATGAAACGAGAGAAATACTTTGGCGACTTTGAGAAGGCGCTTCCGTCGAGTCATGCATTCTGGGTCGCCAGTGCTGAGTTGTAAGGAAAGCTGACCTACATCGACTCCAAGAGACGCTCAGATCACTACACGGGTTTAGAGTTTAGGGCTTTCGGTCTTTTTAGCATCCAAGTTGAAGAGCGTGCCTCATGCCCATCATGGTCGGGTGGACCGTGGCACTCCCAAAAGCATCCTCAATGAAGTTCTATGTCCCTTAAAGAAGCCCTTTTCGGAACCTTGAGGAAAGGCTCATGTACAACCCGGTGAAGCCCTGGGGCCCTAAGGCAACCCCGTATGAAGAAGGTTGAACCTAGAGACAGACTGTAATCAAAACGAGAACTGATACAAACACGAAACACGAACACGGCCTATAAAACCCAGCAGAACCCATGTCTTAAAACTTTCTGTGTTTCTGAACAAGACGGGGTTTGCAAGGCATGGGCAGCTTTGCCTCAAGAGTCTACCGGCTGCTACACACAAGGACTGCGGCAAGCAATGAACGAGAAACCCAAACTCCCAACCCGAAATTCTCTTTTGCAACCCAAAAACGCTTCTTTGCATCTGGTCTGCATGGATGACCCTACATATCACTATCATCATACTGTCAACCGGTGCTTCTTAACCAGTGGCTTTGCGGTTTAGGGCTCTTTCTACCAGTAGCTGGAGCCGATAAACCCTACCTTTCTAAGAGTTTTATGATTCCCGTATATGACTCTCCAGGAAAAGTAGGTTACTTCTTTTCCGCAGGCTTGCCGAGTTCACTCCTGGACGCAGGAAAAGTAGATTACCTTAAGCCCTAAACCCTGAAGCCGAGTCCCTAAAACCTAAGTCCCAAAACCCCTAAACCCTAAACCCCTAAACCCCTGAACCCCTAAACCCTAAACCCCTAAACCCTAAATCAAGTCGCTGGAATCTTGCGGCTCTGAGCCGGGGAGAAAGGCCACGAGTTGGTCCACTTTCCCGAGCACCTGAAGAACCGAACATTGAGAAGCCCAGATCGTAATTAGGAGAATGAGGTTTACGCTCTTGCAACTCGGACTCCACCAGACGAGGTCTCTTGTGTCCAACTAGTGTCAGCTGATACAAAGTCTAGCGCGCGATCACTTCTACACCACAGAAGCTTAAGGAACAGTAAGAACCTTCACCTCACCCCAGCCCGCTAAGATCCTAAACAGTCGGCCAACTCCCCAGTGATCGTTCAAGTGTCGGTGCATTGACCAACTAGACTACTGCGTTGTGCGGCTTCAATCATTCTACGTCGCTGTATGCTCACGGTGGCCTGTAGAGCACAACAGGGCACAGCCAAGAAGTTAAAGCAAAAGGACTATGGTACCAGAAGGGCTCCAACAAGCCTGAGTGAGCATCTGTGCCTAATCCGACTAAAGGGGCTTCTGGTTTTTAGTGAAACTACACTTGCCAGCATGTATCCGACATGTATTCCCCCAAAGGTCATAGGTTCAGGGTTTAGGGCACAGGGTCTTGGGGTTTCGGGTTTGGGTTTTGGGCCTACAAACTCCTACACTTTAATGAGGCTACATCATATAGGAATGTCCCAAACCCCCCTACAGACGAAATGCTTCCTAATTCAGCTCTTAGAGTTACGTAAGAGCTCGAAGCTACTGCAAATACTGGAAATCAAGTCTCAACAAACAACAAACAGCACCAAAACTACCAAACCAACAACCAGCCAAACTTAAGACAGGGGGGCATCAGAACAGAGCAAGTCACCCGCACGGTTCAATTCGTTCCTCTAACAAAACTGCTGAACATAACAGCTGGACGGCCTCCACATGCCCCAAACATTTAAAAAGCGAGTTTTGCGATCAGGTGAAGCCAATCGTCTTCGCACAAAGAACTCAGAAGCAATCAGTACATCATTGCATTCCGGATTGGTTGTGTGATTGGTGTCAAACTCTTTCCCTAGCTGGCATTCTCAAGACCCAATAGAGACTGAGGAGGTCTTGAAGCGCGTAGAAAGAAACGACCAAGTCACAAGGTCAGAGATGCACAACACAACATGATGCCTACCATGTCAGTGTCACTGCGCCATACCCTTTTGGCTGCTATCGCTCGTGTCAGGGCCCGAAAAGAATACGGCTGAGTACGGATTGCCAGCATAAGAATGATTAGCCCAGTACGGCTACCATACTGTCTAGTGGGATGATTACTATGTACTACCTACTACCTAATTACCACCTACTACCTACTACCTACTACCGTAAAACTACTACTTACTACCACTGCCACTACCACTACCGCTACTGGTATGACTACGACTGCCACAACCACTACCACTACCACTACCACTACCACTACCACTACCACTACCACTACCACTACCACTACCACTACCACTACCACTACCACTACGACGACGACTACTACTACTCCTCCTACTCCTAC